AGATTAGGTTGAATATACATGAACACAGATTAGGTTAAATTCTTCAATTTTGACAGATTAGGTTGAATATACATGAACACAGATTAGGTTAAAAAAATTATACGAAGTATTAGAAACCAAATCCTACAAACCAAATAGAGGAATGGATTTCAAATCCAATCCAAATCCTGCAAACCAAACACATGATGGATTTTAAATCCAATCTAATCCAAATCCCATGGAATCCAAATCCCTCCTGGGAATCCAAATCCCTCAAAAACATTCCTGCAAACCAAACGCACCCCTAAAACTTTTATACTATGACGGGGTATGAAGCAGTGACTCGTACCACCACACCAGGGGAAGGTAGTGTTAAACTCTAGACCTCCCACATGTTATGCAAAAATGTCCAACTCTTTGCATGCTAAATTATATGGGTGCAACATATATACACGCACATATGTATACATACAATGTTGGTTTCCGGTGAGGATGGAAGTTATGGTGAGAAGAGATCTCCACCTTTAAATCAATCCTAATTCAATGTCAACACTAATGAGGTGCACCAAATCAATTCTCTTTTAAAACGCAATTCATGGGTGGTCATGAGATTAAAAGTGATCAAGAGTTCAAATCTTTTCTTAGGCTTCTCAACATAACTTCCCTTTTCACACTATCCTTCACCTATACATACATATATGAGGTTGGGTTCCAGTGAGAAGGAAAGTTAAGGTGAAAAGTGTAAGAAGTGATCTCCACCGTTGGATGCAAATTAAGATGAGATGCACCAGATCATTCTCCGTATCAAGATGATTATTGAATGAGTTTGAGATTAAAGGTGATCAAAGATCTAGATATTTTCTTACATTTTTCATCTTAACTCTTCTTCTCAAACTAAAATGGTAAAAAAGTTGAGAATGCTATAAAGATGAATTAACCAATGAAAAAGTACAACAACGTGGATGTCAAACTAAAGAGAATAAAATGCTTTTTTTTTTTTGTTCTAATGTGTTTGCCTCCACCTCATGTTATATTTTACTGATTTTTTATTAAAAATCCAGGATTTTTTGTTTAAAAAAATGTGGTTGTAACCACTTTTTTAATCAGATCCGTTAAATCATTTCATCTAACGGTTGAGGATGACTCGTGTCAAATACTATGATTTTCCGTTCATTTAATGCAATGTAGTTAAATTTTATCATATCAGATTTTTATTTGAATGACCAAACTAAAGCCATATTTCTGTGAGAATATTTATGGTATTTTGCATTTTGACAATATCATTGATAGCTTAGAACATTATAAGCAAGCTTGGGATTCAGATCGGGATCTTTAGGTGGTGGTTGGTCGCTCTATTTCCAAACAGATTTGTCTTATATGTCAGATTCTCATTCCAATTTCTGTCAACAAAACACATGGTCAAACCAGATTAAATTTCATTTCAGTTCCTTTGTAAGATTCCAATACTGACATATTCTATTTTGTAAACCAAACGCCACCTTAAACTCCCGAACAAGTCTTAACCACTTAAACAAGTAACTGTGATACTACAAAAATAAAATTCTCATCAAGCAACCGATTCAAATTTAGTGAAACATGTTATTGATGGATTGTTATTGCCAACAGATGCTTTTTGGTCATGGTCGACAATTATTTCAACGCCACGATTGAAAGCATTTGAGCCAAAATGGCATGATATTGTCATCTTATAAGAAAAAAAAAGTAATGTGTAGAATATGGGAAGAAAATTGGAACACGAAATAATGTGGAATATGTAAAAAATTCGAACTAAAAACAGTATCAAACACGAAGAAAACTGAAACATGAAATAATATCGAAATCTCAAATTATACCAATTTTTTTTAATTAACCTGAATATCTAACCCGCTATGCGAGCCGACTAATCCCTAGGCGACTATCTGCTTTGCAGGTAGTCCGAAGTCACCACATTTGAACCTTCGTGTCCACAAGGGGATTTTTATTCTTTCTTGGATTTGAACCTAGGACCTCTAGGCACTTTTGACCTTTGGAACTCAAGCTCAAATCAATCAGGCACCACCCTTGTTTGAGAGTAGTTAGTAGAAATTTAGAAAAAACTCAAAATCTAATTATATGTTCACGTATAATCATTTTTTCTTTGTCACATCATTGCTAACTCAACAAGTTATAAACCAGTAAAACTCAACTATAATACTTACTAGAACCTCAATTTTTGTTAAATTTAATGTGGATATATAAGTAAAAAATAAAAATAAAAAACTAATAAAACGACAATGACTTAATAATTAAAACAAGAACTAAAGTTTTTGTATAAGAATTCACAAAATGTTATCATTTATAAGAGCCCTACACTATGATAGTGACTAAAAACTTTACGAAAGTAGCCTAGTGATTTTTCTCCAACTTTGGAAATTCTTCAAAAGTTTTACCGGGCACTGCTATTTGCACCCCGTTTAATGTCAGAATCAGGTCAAGTCATGCATTAAGAAATGTAAAAAGTGGATTTTGATTTTGATGTGTGTGTGTGTGTGTGTGTGAGGAGGAAAGTACTAGGTCAGGGTGTAATTAGTCTCCCCCGCTCCATTTTGTTATAGGTGATGGTATATACACTTTTTTTTTTTTATGTATAAATCAAGTCCAATCATACATTATAGTGTAAAAAGTAATTTTTGACTTTGATGTATGTAAGTAGAAAATTATCAGTAGGGATGGATATAGCAATATTTAGCGGTGCATTTCGTCCATCTTACTTATTCTCAAAAAATTATGTCCAATCAATCGATGAAATCAAATTAAAGAGAGCAAAAGTATTCTCGTCATATTATTGAATATTTTAATAATATAATTAATGTTGAAATATTAAAAAAAAATATTACGTATAAGTTAAATACCGAACAAAGTAACAAAACCAAATTAAATATATTTGATTCAAAAATTGGGTCCAAGAAAATGTGATATAAGCAAACCTGTTTTCTACCCTAAAAGGTAGCAAACAATATCCAAACAGAATGACTAAACTAAATCGAACCAAACCAAACCAAACAAACTAGTATCTCTCATTCGAAAATAGGTTCATAGAAAATGAGAATATGCAAACACCTTCTCTATCCCAAAAGGTAGAGCCAGCCTCTATCTCCGTAAAGATTCCTAATGAAATCCAAACAGAATAACAAAACCAACCAAATAACCCAATATATCTCATTTGAAAATAGGATAAATACAATCTTATTCTCTACCCCCAAAAGGATCTGTTCCCGGGAGTACCCTAAAAAAAAGCAACCTTTGCTCTCCTCAGCCATTTCGGGTCTCCAACTATTGGAGATCCCATTTCCACACCAACTCAAGATATGCTTAGTGGACTATATGTCTTAACGAGTGGAAATCGTCGGTAAAGACGCTTGAGAAAATCCAAACTATCAAATACATCTCATTCGAAAATAAGGTCCAAGAAGATGAGATATACGTAAAGTCGTTCCGTACCCGAAAAAGGTAAGATTAAGACCCTAACAGAATCCAAACAGAAACATTACCCCCAAAAAGATTTGAGTTAAAACCCCTACAACAACATTGCTTTGATAGTTCCTATTATTCATTAGAGATTTAACTAGTATAGTATAGTATAGTATAGTATAAGTATAGTAAGATGGTGATGCAAAAGGGTTCTAAGATGTTAATCATACATATTCTTAATACAATCTAATTCTCAAAATGCACATAAATCTCTTTAAACTTTTTCTTCAAACACAACTTTACATCCTATAAACCTCGTATTTTGCTACTCTGAAACCACTCGATTGATCGGACCGCGCCTACAAAAATTGGAGAATTCAAGATTCATGTTCACTTACGTGATCATCTGATACCGTCCCTTCAGATGAAACCTCCTCCTTCGTTGCTGTTGTCTCCTGTAAAATCATTTCACTTTCCTGATTTGGATTTGGTGGTGAAGATGGCGCCACCACCGGAGTTTGGTCAACAGGTGGTGGTACATTGAGGTCTGGTTCGGTACCTGAAGTCGAAGCAACATGTTCCTCTGGTTGATGGCTAGTTCCAGGGATATCTGGCAGCGATTGGTGGCTAGTTCCAGGGATATCTGGCAGCGATTGGTGGCTAGTTCCAGGGATATCTGGCAGCGATTGGTGGCTAGTTCCAGGGATATCTGGCAGCGATTGGTGGCTAGTTYCAGGGAYATCTGGYRGYGATTGGTGGCTAAGACCATGAGAGTGGTGGCGCTTCTTCTTCTTGAAAATGCGGCGAGGGTCTTTGGGTGGAGAAGGTGGCAAACCGGGAGGAATAAATGGAGGAATGGTTGGTATTTCATCTCCGTATAGCAAACGAACTGACTCAGCTATGGCGGAGACTGTTGGCGGCAATTCAGGCTCCAGTGGTCTGGCAGGAACACCACCACCACCAACTGCTTTACGAAGCCAATGAGGTAACTTGTTTTCAGATGAACCACTACCGCCAGCCTCATCTTTTCCCTTCGGATTACCAACATTCTCAAGAAAATTTGGCATTTTCCGATTCAGATGCTGTGCTTCATCTTTTTGCGGTGAATCAAATAAGCCCGAGCCATTCAAACCAAAAGTTCCGCACCTATTGGTCACAAACGGATTGGGAAGAAGATGTTGATTTGATCTATCAGAAGGCCCAGCAGACAATGATCCACCAGAAAAGTTCACCGGAAACCGTTCAAGATTCCATGTCGGGATTCGAGGGAGATGCTCATTTTCGAACCCAACTGGATTCGGCTTCTCGGTGGGAAGATCATCCAATCCCAGTTTCATTTGTGTCAGATGGGGTTGAATACCGAGTGGAGAACCAGCAAACCGGCTTTTATGCAATGCCCGTTTCATCATTCCATCAGAAATGCCTAAAAAACCCGGAGATTTCCCAGATTTTGAAGCTTTCGACTGTTTTTGGGTCGGCATATCCAAGATCTTGAGCTGTTCTTCCTCCCATCTTGCCGCCAAATCTTCAGCAGTCCTAAATCTTGAAAATTTAAGCCGATTATCGCGAAGCATAGCATCCCAACCACCCCGCCCATGTCTACGAACACCAATCCACAAGAAATCAAGTTCATCTTCAGACCAAAAATCTTTAACAAGTTTCCTTTTAAGTAGATTGTTTGATCCTGAACCCGTTCGCATCATTATATTCTCAAGAACTTTCCGGTGGTTTTCTGGCAACGACGAGAAAACAGGAGGCATCTGACCCAAACCCAACATGGGGGGAGGTGGCACATCCATCTCTTGTTGATTATCTTTTCGGAATCTCAAATTGGACAACATTGGGATCGTCGGGAAGTCATGAAGAGCTACGCTCGATTCACCAATCGATCTCCCCAAAGTTAAACTGGGAAACAAGTCGTGTTGGTTTCTCCCGGGTGAGGGTAGTCTAGGCAAGTCAAAGGGTAATCTGGGCAATGCCATCAGAGCCGAGCTTTCTGAAGCCTCATCAATTTTCCCTGGAGGCGGGATGAAGGTGTGCTACAACGAGATATAGATAATCAGAATCAATCAATTACACTTTTTTCCGGTCCAAAATAAATGTCCATGAAACAATTTTAGAAACGTGTAATTATTACACTTTTTAATTAACAAACGACAAATTTACCATTAATAACAGAAAGTTGATACTTGTTTTAATACAAATAAAAATAGAAATGCTCATACTTATTTTGAGACGGAGGGGGTAGCAACCAGCAAAATAAAATGAGAGAGAGAGAGAGAGAGAGAGCATACCGGAGCGAATGGAGATAGACCCGTCTTTAGTTCATATTGGAGAACGTTAAAATCGGCATCTGGATGTTTAGATTTGACCGAGGCGGTTCCACAAGTTTTTGCAGCCTCCTCATTGAAGGGTCCAGAGCAAGGAGCTAGATGAAACGGGAAGTCGAGACCGATCACATGCTTGTCCTGTCTACTAGAAGATCTTGAAGAATTTCTATTAGCCGACTCCATCAGCTTCGCATTTGGAGCACATAGCCCAAGAACAGGAAGCAACTTGCCACTTCGCACCAACTCTTTCCCCTATAAAGAACAAAGATTTGGTCAGAAAGTATATATACAACGTTGGTCAAAAGGATTAACCGGGAAAGTTCATTTAGGAACTGTATATATTTTGAGAATTAACTATTCTTGATGAATATACCCTGAATATTCATCATGATATCATGCATTTTCACTATTCATAATATTTATCATTGTATTCATTATGAATACTTGGTGAATATACCTAAAAGATTTACGGTTCAACCTGGTTTATGAGTTGGTACCTTGCCAGGGTTCGGATCTGGATCGGTCTTGCTCTTTGGTGGATCCAATGTTTGACTTGGGTTGTCTTCTTGGTCTTCATTTTGACCGTTAAAGGTGGATCCTTCAATGGGAAGGGATTCTCTGAATGCTTTCATCCGGGCCAATCTGTCCTTTTGTCTAGCTCGAAGCTTACCACTGTAAAAACAACATACTTCATCATGATAAGGCCAGCTGATTACTATTTAATAATACCACCAAATAACAAGCACTTGATATTGTGAAGCGCATGGAATTCTTTTCTTTATTTTTGTAGCTTTTAGGGGTGAATGGATAGTCGCTCTACTCTTCAGGACAGAGGTCAGGTATGCATACATCTTCTTAGATAGTCAATCCACTCTAGTCTGAAACCTCTTCTTAGAGCATCTCCAATGGATTATCTACAATAGAGAAAATGGAGATTTTCTTCTCTATTTTGCTCCAGCGGATTCTCTATATTGTTCTCTAAAATAGCGAAAACTTTCAAGTTTAGAGAATGTTCTAAACCTTATTGTCTGGAGAGAAAAATGATTTTTTTATTCTTTCCCACCAATATAGTTGAATTATTATTATTTTCAATAAATATTATAATAAATGTATTCGGATGATAAAATAATAAAATGTTATATTAATATAATTAATACTGAAATCTTGAAATAGAGAATCCATTGGAGTTGAGTGATTTCTTTGTAGAGATTTTAACTTATGGTTCTCTATTCTCGAGAGAAAGTATAGAGAATTTGTTGGAGATGCTATTATACTATCTTGCTACGTTCGAAATGCAACAATATCAAAAGGCGCTTTCCGCACTTCTTCAATGTATCTTTTTCTTCTCGGAAGCACTCTACTCCTACTCGGGTCATTTAGTTATATAACCTTAAACGACATTTCAATTAAATCCATGACCCCCTGACCTATTAAAAAAATGGTTTCACACTCATCAGAAGATTATGAATTTAATTAAGGTTATAATACCTAAATATCTCCTACTCATAATACTACCTCAGCACCCGTCATGGATCACCAACTCATACATATTTTCAATAAAAATCAAGGTGTAATATTAAACAAAAGTAAGATAAATGGAGGAATAAAATTAACATAAAAGAACGAAATAACGTTTAAGAAAAAGAAGAATAATTTAAAAAAAAAAGATAAGAAAACTCACAACTTGATTTTTAGAGCTTTTCCTGCGGGTGTATACTCTCGCTCTGGCTCTGGTTCGGGCTCCTCATCAGCACCATTCTGCAGAGATCCCCAAATGGAACAAATAAGGCCACTTCAGTTGAAATTTCTGAACCACAATATGATAATAATGTGATCAACTTACACATAGAACAAATCGACACTGCATAAGGAAGTCAGATTATAATCTTTTGTTCAGTATTGTTATGTAGATGCCCGCATAAATCAAACAAACTTGAACGAAAGGACTGATGTATACATGCATATATACAATAGAAACTTTCTTAAATCCTAAAGTTACCTGATTCAATGTTTCGATAGGCTGTGGAGCATATGCTTCCCTGTATGAAACAGCTTTTCTTACCCTTTTCCCTCGACCAAGAGCTGCTTCCTCCTCACTTTGGTACTTCTCCCATCTGCATATCCATTAGAGGATTACTTAATATTTTGATATATGTCATAACCCCATTTGCAATATTTCCTCATATTACAAACTTGTGTTATTGGTGTTTTACGGTTACAGCTAGCAGTGTTCATCAAAATCGCCCACACAGCACCACACTGCACCGCAACATGCGGTTCAGAACCTTTTTTTTTGTTAACCATGGGTGTCCGAGCCACCTCAACTAATCCCAGGGGATCTGAAAAATCCCAAGTGGCCTTGCAAGACTCGAACTGGTGACCTTTGAGGAGGATCCGTAAAGGCCCAAGCCTTATTGCAGTTTAGAACTTCCAAGGTGCGGTTTGCGGTTTTGAATCATCAAAAGGCGGTTTTTGTGAACAATGGGTGTCGGAGCCAGCTTGCACGCACCTCAACTAATCCCAAGGGCCCCGGAGAACGGCTTGGAAAATCCCCAGCGGCCTTGCAGGACTCGAACCGGTGTCCTCTGAGGAGGATGCCCAAAGGCCCAAGCCTTATTGCGGTTTAGAACTTTTACAGTGCGGTTAGAGGTTTTGAATTATCAAATGGCGGTTCAAACCGCACCGCACCGCATATTTTATATATATATATATGTAAAATATGTACGTAATCATTTATCAAATGAAATAGTTAATACATTATTGATCATTAATTAATTTTTTCATTTTTCCTTTTAAGTTTCACATTACAGATTCCTTATTTGAGTTATTTTCTTTTGTCTTATGTCAAACATCATGGTTGAATTTAATTTGAAGTTAACTTTTCAGATGTATTAGGATTATTACCGAACTCTTTGGTTTGTGTTACACTATTTTAATTACGCATTTCGTACGTATTAGAGTTTTTTATTGTATGGAATATGGGAAAATCATCGACGAATTTATTTTGAAGTTGTGTTTTTATAATTATTGGATTGAAGTGCGTTAGGTACAACCGTACAAACTGCACCATGCAATGCAGTTTTTTGCGGTTTGAGGATATGCGTTGTGATTTTCCCCTAGTTTCAGCCACAAGCAAATGAATTATTCAATTAGCTTTAATCTTCTATTCTTAAGCTATGTTCTTTGTTTAATACTTTAGTATATTCAACCGATGGTGCTTAATGTGTATCATATTGTTTTAAGATCCACTTTTGAGTTTTTCTGTTTGGCTGTTTGGTGTGTTGCTTCGTTAATCATTTTCGGCTCTAGCACCATCACTAGAAACATTATATTTACAAAATTAGCATAAAATTGATCTGCCTCCAGAGTCATTCAGTTTTGAAGAAGTCCATTTATAGCATGAAGTTAAGACATCAAAGTAGTAATACATCGATCATGGACCAGAGAAATAGCAACGAGATTGTAATGAGGAAGTTCAAAAAGTACCACTTGCCTCACTCTCAGAAGCCTGTCCCATTCATTCTCTTCGGTAACATTTCCGGAATTATCCTCTTTCTTTTCCAAATTCTGAGCAGTGCTACCATCAATGATTGCCGAAGGTGACTCAGTTCCTCCTTCTTCTGTTGGTTCATCATTCCAATCCAGAGACTAGTTCAAAAGAGGATGAGAAACAATGAATACATAAGAGATTTTGAAAATAATTCCATACTAAATAAACGATGAACAAGCATATTTACAAAAGAGGCACACTCCCTGTGTCCCAAAATAAATGCAACAAGTCCAATTCCAGGATGTTGAACAATTGGTGCTTTTTTCTTCTTTAGCAAAGTTTTGCTTCAGCATTACTAATTTGCCCTTCAGTGATATGAATGGCATTAATTTTGGCCACCAAAAGATAATTATATTGTCAATATCGGGAGACAATTTTGATATTTGACAAATAGTTAAACGCTTCCACCAAACAGCACGGCTTGCCAAATCTTACATATATTTTAGAGCACATGAAGTAGGATGTTAAGTACTAATTATTAACCAAAGAGGCACAAAGCTATGAGGAGAAACATGTATACATGTACCTGTTTCTCTTTTGAGTTTTAAGGTCTAAAGTGTTTCAATTTACAAAAAGATGACCAAAGTAGCCTCCACAAATCTTAGCTATCGGCATAAATTGAAGCTAAAAAAGTGTTCTCTTAAATGGTAACATCAAAGGCAAATCTTTGCGTTCTTGATGTTCAGGGATGCAAAGACAAGCAATGACTCAATAACCTACCTAAACCTTGCCAACCAAGAAGGCCACCTTCATACACATAGGGGGGATTTGGTTTGATGGAATGGTTTCTAGGGATTTCGATTTCGTGGAAGGATTTGGAAATGGAGGGATTTGGGTTTGGAAGGATTTAAATCTTTGGTGTGTTTGGATGATAGGATTTGGAATGGAATTGAATTCCATTTTGTACAAATAATTTATAAAAACAAATTATAAAATTACCTTTTTATTAATTGATTATTACAAAACAAATGTTTCAACATATTTTTAAATACTATTACACATAAATCCTACAAAATCCTACGAAATACCAACAAACCTCATGGGATTTCTAAATCACATGTTTGTGGGATCTCATTGATTTCAAATCAAATCCAAGCAATCCTTCAAACTAAACATAGGATTGGAATGGAATTGAATTCTAAATCCTATCCAATCCTACACACCAAAGAAGGCCTTAGGTTGGTTTGCGGGATTTGATAGGATTTGAAATTGAATTCCATTACAATTGTATGTTTGGTTTGAAGGAATGCTTGGATTTGAAATCCCACAAACATGAGATTTAGAAATCCCATAGGAGTAGTTGGTATGCCATGGTACTTCATAAGATCTGCTTGTAATAGTGTTTTAGAATATGTTTAAAGCACTTGTTTTGTAATAATCAATTAATAAAAAGGTAAATTAATTATTTTTATAATTTGTTTTTATAAAAAATGAAATTAAATTTCATTCCAAATCCCACAAATCAAACACACCAAAGATTCCAATTCCCTTAGTAATATGGCCATTCTATTAGGTGGTAATATCAACAACCATACCCACACAAAAATACCATAAGATCACAAATGTCAATATAGACTTCTCTAGTATAGAGGTAGATATATCATGACTTGTCATGATAAAATTAGGATGACCTTAGTTCGAAATGCGAGCAAGGGTAAATTAGTGTCAGTTTTAAGCTTCGTGTTTCGATTACACAATATGAGGTCAACTCAATTGTACACATGGTGCATAAATAGTTATTTGCTAAGATAGTTTGTCATAAGGTCAGCTATCAAGATAACAATAACAAAATAATACACTGAAAAATTAAATGATCTATTTAGACTTGAAGAGAAGAAGCCTACACAAAGGTAAATTACATCTTCAAAATACAAGTTGCTATTACTTGTACAAATTAAATAGCTTCCTAATCTTCTAAAGTACATATAAGTATATTAAGAAACAAAATGATCTCGTTTCCTCATAGGAATAATACCGATTAAACACAATATATTCTACACCCTCCTCCAAGTTGGAGCACACGGATTCCACATGCCCAACTTGCATAGTAATTCTTCAGAACTCTTTGATTTTCTTCTTATATATTCCTTTTGGTTCCTCACAAGTTGACGCAGGTTTGCATACAAACATACTACTTTCTTTAAGTGGATCCATGACACTTTAGTTGAGAGACGGAACTACCTTGTTTACATCTTGCAATTTTCAACTTCAAATTCTTTAGCTAATAATTCTTAAAATTTTCTAACCCATCAATATCATATTCATGTTACTTCGAATAAAATCAATATTGAACATTTAACAATATAAGAATAAGAACTAAATTATGAAAGCGGTCTTATTATGTCTGTGGTGAAGCTATTTTAACCAAGCCAACTATGTACAAGGCATACTTGCAAAAGATTTTATAAACATTTTAAGGAACTAAAGGGTACATGGTAAACAACCGTATTGCGTTGACACTAAGACGCAACCTCTAATCTCTTATGAGAGAACTAAAAGCTATGATTCATACTTGAAAAGAAAAAAAAAAACAATGTGTTTTCTACAACATAGGTAGACAACTAGTATAACTGTTCAAGTAAGGTCCAATTAGTGTAAAAAGGGTCGAGTCTCACTAAAGCATCTAATCTGCTGTTGCTAAACAAAAACATAGAAAAGGGGCAATGGACTCTAGCCACCTAAAGGGTACTAGGAAGAAGATATGGATCCAATGTGTTTACAAAAGTAAATACAAAATCAAGCATTTTTCTACTCAAACAAGTCAGTGAAATGCAAAAATGTAATCATCCTTAACCCAGAAAATTTTGAATAGAAGCACTGATGGGAATTATAAAGATAAGATTTTCAAAATTTTGTACACACAAGAGAGTGCTTATGACATACCTTCACAGAGCCAAGCATATCATTTTCCAAATCTCCTTCTGCGTTATCAGTTGAAACAGAGTCAATAATTGAACGGTCTAGCAACTTCAGAATAGCAGCTTCATCCCACATTATTTGGGTGCTCCCATCTGTGCACTTATCCTGGTACACGTCCCCTAAACCCCCGGTCCGCCTCTTACTCTTGTGTTCAGAATCTATGGAGGCTTCACCTTTGTTGAGATTGTTTTCACCTGCATCTTTTCCAGCTTGGGTAGAAGAATCATTGAAAAGTTCTTCAGTTCCCCATTTTAAGATATCTTCAACCTCCTTTTGAGATCCAGATTTGTTTACAAAAAGGTGGTCGAGCATCAGTTTCTTCTTTGCAAGCTGAAGGATCCTCTCTTCAACACTAGCACGGACAACAAGCCTGTATACAAGAAGCCTTTTTGACTGCCCAATTCGATGTGCACGATTCATTGCTTGGATATCAGCATGTGGGTTGAAATCAGAATCATAGATTATGACAGTGTCAGCAGTTGCCAAATTGATCCCAAGGCCACAAGAGCGGGTTGATAACAAGAAGACAAACCGACTCTTGTCTTGATTGAAGCGTGCAATTGCCATTTGGCGATCAGCTATGGAGACAGAACCATCAACTCTCTCAAACGTTTTGGGCCCGAATTCAATGTTTAAATAGTCCTCTAGAATATCTAGAAGCTTTGTCATCTGTGAAAATATGAGAACTCTATGACCCTCCTGGTGCAATATCTTAAGCATAGAATGAAGCAAAGCCAGCTTGGCCGAAGCCTTGATGCGCATATCATGAAGGAATTCCATCGTCCCAGATTCAGGTTCAGTTCCAGGTATGAGATAAGGATGGTTACAAACTTTTCTCAATTGCATTACAATGTTCAACATTGATTGCTGGGGAACCCCCTTTCCCATGTTGCGTAAAACTTGATAGTTCTTTGTTAGCATAGCCCGATAATACTCAGATTGAATAGATGACAACTCAACAGGAACCACGCGCTCAGTCTTTGGGGGAATATTCTGCATTGCGTCTTTTTTAAGTCTCCGAAGCATATGAGGAGCAACAAGTTTCTTCAGTTCGTCCACTTTTTCGGCAGTTGTAAGATCGCTAAACTTATCCTCAAATGACGAAAGAGAAGGGAATGAAGCTGGCTGCAAGAAATTTAGCAAGTTATACATCTCACCTAGGTTGTTCTGGAGAGGAGTACCGGTCAACAACACACGATGTTGGAAAGAGAATGTATTAAGCAAGCTAAAGAGCTTACTACCCGAGTTCTTAAGACGATGGCCCTCATCAACCACAAGAACTTCCCACGGAACTCCACGTAGATGGGTCGAATCAGCAAGAACCATTTCATAAGTAGTTAAAAGAACATTGAACTTATAACTGGCTGTTTTCTTGTTCGAACCCATTGGATCATTTGCATGCCATTCATACTGACGCATTAGAGCTCTTGCTCGTGTACAGCCGTGATACTCCACAACATTCAGATTAGGAGCCCATAATGAGAATTCAGCCATCCAGTTTGGCATTGTGGAAAGAGGTACCAAAACTAGACAAGGCAATCTAGCTTTAAACTCAAAGTATAAAGATGACAGAAAAGCACAAGCGGATATCGTTTTACCCAGCCCCATCTCATCAGCAAGAATTACATTTTTCGACTTATACCAGCATTTACGCAACCAGTTTAGCGCTTCCAATTGATGTGGGAACAAAGAGCCCCCTAGCTCTTTAGGCTGCTCAGTGAGAGTAACTACATCACCATGTTGAAGTTGGCCCTTTCCCCTTGGCATCTCATCCTTAGCAGCATCTTTTTCCAGGGTTTGGAGCTCAAATTGATCAAATAGATCTATAAGATGAGATGATTTAACAATTACAGGCTCATCTGTCCTTTCCCATGTACATTCATCATAAGGAAGACGACTCCACTTTACAAAAGCTTCAGTTGATCCATCTTTTGATGATCGAAGAGCAATCACCCGCTGGGGCACTTTCCAGTGTTCTTCACAAAGATTTATCACCGTCCTTCCATACTTTGCCTTGTAGTTATCCAGTTTCCTCTTTGCCATAACTTTCAACTGTGATTCAGCAACCCAACTATTATGTATATGAGATCTTCCAACCCACTTAACTAAAAACTCATAAGAGACTGTTTTCCCATCAGAGGATAAAGATCCTGCAATGATAGACTTCCTTGTCTCATGACTACTGTTTGCTTCAGTATCTATATTAATCTTATCATCTACAATTTCAGGAGAGTTTGAAACACCATTCATATTGTCCCCCGTTGGAATCTCTTGGGATTTTTTTGCCCAATCATGTGAAGTAAGTGCAGAATCATCTTTATTTTTCTTGTCCGTTGCCGTAGACCCAGGATCATCCATAGTTTGACCCACAGAATCCTTGATATTCTCTTCACTACAATTGTTCGTCATATATGCATTTATCTTATCTACTCTTGTAGTATTCTCCTCAAGTGTTTGCCTATCAGAAGGGATCAAGATATTCTCAGTACCCTCATTAACCATTTCTGCATCTACAATATCTAACCGTCCAATATGATTGTCCTGAACCATGGGACTCTGAGAAGACATGACATCAGCCTCTGCTGCAGAGTGGGAACGTGGAGAATTTCTCTCTATGCCTTGAATTCGACAACCTAATACCCGATCAACCTGCAATATGTAGCCATACATATTAAAATATGGTCAAGATTCTCCTATGAAAGGTTAAAGGGGAGGAAAAGACCATAAAACACAGAAAGGACAAATGGCAAAAATGCCAACCATCCCACAACCCTAGTAAAAAAAACTTAAGAAACGGACAAAAGGGTTGCTAACAAAAGGAAAATACAAAACCACAAGGGTTGTGGCATAGTGGTTGAGGCCCAGGGGGATGTGGTGGAATATCCCATCTGTCCTGGGCTCAATTCTAGGCGTCAACAACAATTGTGGCCACTGAGTTTATCAGGGCTGATGTCTTATGGTCGCAATTTGCCAGATTTATTCTGAGCATAGGCCAGGACACTCTTCCAAAAAAAAAGAAAAAGCATACAAAGAACAAATATTACCAAAATTTCCTTGATTACAAAATAACTAATTGTAATATTGAATTTTAACTTGCTTCCTTTTTGTATCATGTGATTTATGTAGAATCTATACCAGTGTTACATTTTGAAGTGGTTGGCATCCATCAATACGAAAACCCTTTCCACTTGGCAGGAAGTACAAGTTTACTCTCATGAAAGTAAGAAGGCAAATTCAGTATAACATATAAAACAGGGAATTCAAATGTTAGGACTTGGGGATAATATTTGATAAACCTTGGAGCATTCCAGAAAGCTAGAAAATAACAATCATTTGTATTTTATGAAATGATAATCTAGTGGTTAGGAAACATAAGGTTTTCTTATTTCTATATGCATCTTTTACATGCCCACGGGACTATCTAACATACTATATATAGGGTTTTCCCTAATTAACACATTCTTTCCAACCCTAAAATACTTGCGGAGAATATTTTCTAATGCTGCACGGAGTATACGCCAGGAAATCCCCTTAGTACCAAGGGAATCTCCTAGAGTATACTTCGTGGCAAAACGGCCTCACACCAATATCTACCAGTTGTGAGCTATAAGTACCTGTAGAACTTTGTCCTGAGAAAGATCTGCAAATTTCAGCATTTCAACTTTTCCTGCTTCACTTAATTCATGTGACGGATTTGTAGCTTCTCCAAGAAACATCTGCGTAATAGGAGAGCTGATTTACATTAGAGATTGTACTGCAAAAGGTGGTAGATAGTTATTATAACAGTCGCACGAGAAACATGTAAAAGTTGCTGATTAAAGAAACGAACATACAGTTAGAATATTACCACAAAAGCTGGAGGAACAACATACAGTAGCTAGTTGGTGCCTTTCATTACTATACCTATACCTCTGAACAGAAATTAAGAGACAACAAGAACTTAAAGTAAGTTGCTCCAAAGCTGTTTTGCTTTTAATTTTTTCTTCAACTTGCATGTTACAAGAAGAAAAGAAATGTAATTATAACATCTCATTCAGATTAATTTAGGCAATATCCTAGACATAAGATTCTGTAAACATTCGGCTCTTTTGTCATCTCCTTTCATCATCTAACCTTCATCTGATGAAGCAAAGCAATGGACATTCCTTTATTCATGTATGATTTCTACATTTTATACAACTTCGCACTCACAGTTCGACGAGCAGGGCAGGGTTCACCTACTTCATATAAGATGTTATGAAAATATACTGCAATCTAATTCACTTTTCTCAAAACATAATCAGAGGATGAAGATGGAAGCGAGTTACAGTTGGGGGCATTTATTTTTCCCATTGAGATCTAAAAACGGCAAGAATGTTTGATCCTTTCAGATGTTTTTGCATCAAATGTTTTCTTCTTTTTCCATACAGATGTGAAGTGCAAGAAGGCTAAGTAAGAAAATGACGAAACAAATCTGAAAAAGTATAAACTGCACCCTTCATTCTCTCGCCGTCACAGATTAGTCTCTCCATCATGTCAGCCTTGCTGTAACAACTCCCTTCTGTTGTCCCAACATCAACCCGTTGCTCACGTCCCCTTCTCTATCACTGACATCTCCTTTTTGCTGCCGACAATGATATTTTCGTAGCTGTCAGCCACTTTCAGAGAGATAGAGAAGGGCAATCGGCTTCACCCGAGGGATGAGAGCAGTATTAGAGAGGGAGGAATTTGAGGATTCACAGGAAGGGCGTGGAAGCTACCGTTTCTAGGACGCAAGCAAGCTAGCTTGCCGACTCTCCTAGTAGTTTGGCGGCAAGGAAAGGGGCATTCGGGAAGCAACTAATCCCTTCTGGCTAAGCTTCTAGAAGGCCGACCATCAAGTGTTCTTAGTAGATAACATTATAACCAAACTCCTATAAACCTTGTTATAAATTAACATTTATTTGCTTAATGATTATTTTTCCATTTATGGTGAAGCTTGTGATTCAATTACTTGTAACCTCATATCATGGCTCATTATTTGAACAACTTTTGGCTACCATTTCTATACATATGTCCAAATTCCTGCCACTATTACCATGAGAACTGAATCCTAAAATTATCTCCCAAGATTTTAATATTTTTTAAGAAAAAGGAAAACTCTATTAATAGAAGGATTGGGCCTACATGGTGAGAAACTCAACGATATCAGTCTTAAGGATTCTAGTGCGGAAATAAATAGGCGAACAAACAAAACTCAAAACAAGAAGGTAAAGCCAACCCTACGCATGACTAAAAAGGAATGCCCATCATCATGACCAAGAGGAAATACATAACAACCCTTCGCACATAATGTTGACACATGTATAGCATCAACATGATAGCTGCGTAAGAATGAAACACCATCTTGATTTTCCAACTAAACGATCCTCCCCTGCCAATAGCCATAAAATAGTTTCGAACTTCAACTTCCAAATTATTCCACAATGTAATTGGCTAATCATGCTTCACCTATACCACCTAAGCAGTGTCGACAGCTAGTTTGCAAAATGTCAATTGGTCTTCAGGACATTGTTAACATTTGAAATTTAGAGGATTTCAAACTTAGAATCATTCAGAATTCAAACTTAGAATCATTCAGAAATTTTATGTGATGGGAGTTTTTATCATAATAAATTTGAAGGCTTTTTATAGCCCCAACCCAACTAGTATATTTTCAAGACTCCTTGAGATGTGTAGTAACTATACTCTAAGCAGAATTCAGAATATAGTATGTCCACTGTTATAAGCAACTATGTCTCTAACATCTTAGCAGTATAATTCTGGAAGAAGCCACACTAAATTTTCCATCGTCATATCAGGGCAGAGGTTCCAAATCATTTTGTCTATTTAGCATTGCATCTAGTTGCATTTTCTTGTGCTTCCACAGAAACTGAGAAAAACACATTTTTGAGGATAACAAAGTAAAACATGGTAAAGGTTTTTGGGTGCAGTGCAATTGTCTTTATCTAATAGATTAAATTTTGAAATTGTGAAAAGAAATCAGTCCATCATCCATCCATTATCAAGATACCTAAAACTGTGAGAGTAGTTAAAAAGGCAATACACCACAAAGGCAATTACAGTTACAGTAATTACAGCTCGAAGTGCAAACTCAAATAAAAGCGCCTTTTGACATAAACAGATTGCAATAGAAGATAATTAGTAGATTAAATTTAGAAATCGTGAAAAGAAATCAGTCCATCATCCATCCATTATCTAGATACCTAAAACCGTGAGAGTAGTTAAAAAAGCAATACACCACAAAGGCAATTACAGTTACAGTAGTTACAGCTCGTGGTGCAAACTCAAATAAAAGCGCCTTTTGACATAAAACAAATAAAATTGCAATAGAAGATAACTAATATACACCATGTTTTAATCACTATACCCTATTCAAGGTGAGAAATCTGAAGATGATATACTTTAGGGAATAGAATAACCAATAAACAATTAAACCAAAGTAATCATCGACATCCAATGTAGAGTCTAACTTTGCTTTTGTATGCCCCGTGCCCCGGTTCATAAAATCTTCATGCTGCTAAGAGCAAGGCCCAAAAATCTACGATTAAAAAGCCCAAAATTCTACAATTAAAAAGCCCAAACATTGAAGATGGTATTACTTTATAAAAGTACATGTGTGATGGGCACAAATGAGGAGGGTTTTTTCACCTATTTATGTGAAAGATCATTTTGTACGAGAAGTCGAGACTGAGTTCACAGTTGGGCGTTTTCATGTATATCAAGCGACACGTGACTATTACAATTACAGACATATGAGTATGCCCGGTGATGCAATTTTTTATGCATTGTTGTATCTTTTCATGTCTTTTGTTGTATCTTTTATGTTTGCATACACCTCTACGTACTATGTTACTATCCCATTTTTTCCCTCATGTCTCTTTGCTTTTTGCTTGTGTTTTGCAAACCTGAGGCCTTCACGGAAACAGCTTCTCTACTCTTGGGGGTACAGGCAAGATCTGCATACATCCAATACTGCTCATTGATCCTTTAATGTATGGCACTCATATCAGATGTTTCTTTTCTATGCGTTTCTTTTTATCTCTTTATCTTCTTGTTTTAATTTTTTTTCTTCTCTTGTTGCCGTTGACTTTCTCTAAATCAAGCGTGAAAGGAAGAGATAAAACAAACTAAATAGCGGTTGATAAAATAATGGTGAAGTTCCCCATATGGAATTGCTGATCATGACAAAAACTCTTAAAAAGATCCAGCAAATGCCATCAGGAAAAAGCAAGTGGCTTAAGGAATTAATACCTCATCTTTCAATGTGATATTACGAATTTCATCCCCCATGTCATTTTTTGATAAAGATTTTTCTTTCGCATGCTTAACTGACTTGCGCTTTAGTTGAGAACTGCTTGTTCCACGTGATGCCATCACACATTTCCCCTTTTCAGTCTTGGGCTTCTTTTGAACATCATTAGATGGAACATTACGCTTCCTTTTCCTGGATTTCTTAGAGACACTTTCTATGGCAAGAACAACTTCCTTCTTTTGAGGGTGAGGTCGATCCCTACCAGGTTTTTCTTCATTTATCTCCAACTCCATAACCTTGGACAGAGACACCACTGAGTTGGAAGGAGAGTCCGGCTTCTTTTCTTCAGCATCGGTCTGTTTCTCATTTTTGACATTCAAAAATGAACTCCCTTCTGGTGAGCCATCAGTGGATGGATTATTTAGCTTATCAACATTTGGGCTTGATAAGGCAGATTTCCCTTTCTTCAATCTTTTCTTCCCAATACTAGATACCTTGCCGCTTTTTGCAGATTTGATTCTATTTTCCAGTTTTCTACTTGTGACCTTCGTTTTTGCTCGCTTTGAGGTAGGATCCACATTGTCTATACCCTCGACTGAATTATTTTTAAGACAGCAGCTAGGACATTTCCACTTCCCATTTGGAATTCCCTTAGACCACGAACATGAAAGCAATTAATTTCCACCGAACAACGGACATCATTTGATGAAAAGAACATCGTAAGAAATGCATGAACAAACAACAAAAATACCTTAAGAGGCGGATCCAGACACCCAATATGATACGTCCCAGGACAACTATCACAACAGAGTAAGTCACCACCAAGATCACAAATGACGCATTCATAATAGTACTGGTGGGAAAAGAAAAAGAAAGACAGCAAATTATGTCAACTGATAAGTTAGTAAATATGTCAATTGATTCTCGACACACACATACATGCATACCGCATGCGCACGCACGCACGCACACACACACACACACACATATATATGAAGAACTGACCCCATCATTTCCTTTTTCCTTGGAAAGAGAATGATCTGAAGAGCTTTCCTTCTTTAACTTCCCTTTTGGTGAAGTGCTCGTATGAGATTCTGAATGTACAGAATCGGTTTTGTTGCCATTGGACTTGACCGGCCCAGAAGGAATCTTTTTCCGCTTGCGCTTCAAAACCCAGTTTCCATTGATAATGTCACTAGTTGATAACTCGTTATTCTTCATCTTGGAATCTGGGTCTTTCATTTCATGTTGTGGGTGGCACAAGACATTTGCAAGTCACTGCTAAACCTCCAATTTGCTATGCTACAAATAAATACATGAGCATATATTTAACAAAAAAACTATAGCATATTTAGAAGAGGAGGTAATAGAGACTATTTCAATAAAGCTGAGTTCATTTAATGCAATAATCAGCCTGAACCAGATGGGGTTGTTTTAAAAAGAAAGATAGTATAGCTATGTGTAACTTATCGCCACAACACCAACTATTGTCCAAGATAAGGTCCATGAACTCACTAAGCTAAATAAAACATCATCAGAAAAAAGGAAACAAAATGGATCAACTTAAAAGAGCCACTATTTGCAAAGATGGTAATAAAATAAAATCCATAAACTCCACAAGCTAGGAGAAAAGAATATCCGAATACAAATGTCATACCTCGATAAGGGAAGATTGTAAAACCTCATTATTAAAGCACTCGGTTTCATATTTCATGTACGGAAGGCATGACAAATGTAACACATGTACCAAAATATTTAAACTATAATGAACTTAATTGGTGCCAAACATAGACGACATACAGAGCTGAATACAGTTACCAGATCCAAACATTGGAAGAAATATGCAGTTCTTTATGATATCAATGAACATCAGAACATAATAACACCTAATATATGGCTTTGGAATAATCTTCCATAGCAGCAAATAGACATTTCAACCAATGCCTTTGTTCATAAATGCTTACAAAAAAAATTGCAAACAATGTATGACCCAAGAGAATGAAGCACATTGCTCAGTAAATGGAAATATGGGAGAAAAGATGTGAAAATGTATACATTTTCAAACCAGATTTCATGACCAACGATAACCAAATTTGGGAACAATAAAATATGTCATCAACAAACGATTCTAACATTTCCCAGTTTATAAAGTTAAACAATTAACTGTGGGCGATTCAAGTAAGCCATGTTACTTTATCAAGCACATACATTCAATACTAAACCCAAAACCCCAAATCAGTAAAAGCCCAATGAAGAAAAAGCCAATAAGATTACATTCAGGGAGTAAAAACAGCAAAATTGAGTTTAATCAAGCAAGAAACAGCTGGAACTGAACATAATCAGAAAACCCACCAACCAAATAACTAAAAAAGAACTCACAAAAGAGTAGATCATCAAAGGCAAAGGGGGTATCTGAATTAATAGGAAAACAAGAGCGATCGACGGATTGAAAGAGAGATGTGTGCGTATATGGATGCTAGGGCATGAGGGAAAAAGGGGGAAAAGCAGAATAAATAGGAAGAAAAAGAGCGTATGATACGGAATCGCCGGTGGTCTTTATATCTCATCTCATAAATACAGAAATGGGAAATGAAGTTTGGAATTAACACAACACCCAACACTCTGACATGGGTTTTTGTGTGTTGTTGTCAAGAGAGGGACTCCGGAGAAAGAGAAAAAAGACTCCTCCTTTAACCAATCCCTCTCTGCCACGTGGGACCGCCTAGACGATCCATCCACCCTCCCCTCTCTATCTCTCTCTCTCTTCACACGAGCCCACACACCCACTCCCCTTTTTCACGTTCCTGATCGTCTTCTGCTTCTTCCATATCTAGAGAGAGAAACTGATCTCAATTCTTCTTCTCATAGTGGTCGTTTTCATCATCATCAAACTGCTTTCTGTGTATTTCAATTCTTCTCCCTCTATGTTGGCATTGCCTTTTACTTTTTCTGAATCTTTTGTTTCGAGCATAGAGATGAAATTGCTATTTCTGGTGCTTCCACCCTGGTAAAGCATACTTATTCAACTTGCTTTCGGCTTTACTTGGCTAAATTCCTAGTTTCGTCTAGGGTTTTTGCTCATATAATCTCAATGCTCCTAAACATAAATCTCGATCAAAATCTACATCATAAATCCAAATACACCAAGCCTTTGTCCAGAACTTTGAATTCAAACTCAATTCGAGCTCGAGTTTACAAGAACCCTGATACAAATTGGTTTGAATCTTTCCAAGTGCTTTGTATTATTGTATACATGTGTTAAACATTTCCTATAATTTAATTAAAATAGATATTTTAAATGTAGGTTTAGAATATAAAATATTAATTGATATTATTAAAATAATTTTTTATTTTAATATTTTTTATTTTTTATATAAAATAATAATGGACATTTTTCTTTAAATTTTAAAGAATTCTTTAAACTTAAAAAGTATTTGGTTGTTTTCTCTATTTTAGCAGACTAGAAAGGTACTTGTGCAATTCATCGAGACATATTTTTATTTCAATGTTTCACTTTATTTTTTATCCATATTGATATAATACGATTTTATGTTGTTTTGAAAAAGCGATAATGTTTCTATTTTTGAATAAAATATAAATTTGAAATATCATATAAAATTTGGAAAAAAAAAACATTTTTTGGATCGGTGGATGAATAACCGTGCCACTCTGGAAGAGCTAGAATTCTAACCTTGTGTAAGGACGTACGGGCCAAGGGACAGTCTCAGGTAGACAATTTCTATGTAGTGTAGGCCTCCTAAGAGGTAACGGAGGCGTGCAAAGATTTATTCTTTTCATACTTTTGGAGAACTTTCAGCTATCAAGGAGACGAAAAGTATATCAATATTAGTAGTACAAATTAACTATTTAAAAGTTTTTGTTTGTGTATTTTTTTAATTCAAAATTTTTATTATAATTTAATTTAACGTAACAAAGTAACTTAATTTAGGTTCAATAATATATTTCTCAATAAATATAATAATTAAGTATTCTGTTAGAACTCAATAACTATTCTAATTATATTTTAGATTTTATTTTATTTTAAAATGAGATGTTTATCCCTTATTTGATTATATTTATCCGCAGTTAGTTACACGAATTCAAACATAGAGATTTAATAAGTTATACTTATGCACAAGTTACTTGTAAGCTTGAATTTTAAGTAATATCATCAATAAATAGTACTTTAGGCATAAAAATGGTTTTTAAGAGTTTTTGTCAGATTTTTATAATATACTAGAAGCGAATTCGCGCAATACAGCGTGATACATCATGATTTTAATATTTCATTTTATTCTTTATCTCAGTCGATGTTATAATATGTCTTTATGTGATTTTGAGAAAACGATGATGTTTTTATTTTTGAATAAA